ATAGCAGGTGATTAATGTACCGGAATAATACTCTCGGAAGCAGAGTGGATAAGAATTATCTTCTGATTCATGAAATTTCTACTAAAATTGATGTGTGCAACTGCTTGGCTCTTGCTTTTCAGTTTTATGTTTTTGATCGAAAAAGTAAAAAACTCTCTACAGAGTTTTCTCAATAAAAATACAAAGCTGTGGGTAAGAACTGAAACTATAGGGCTGCTGGTATCTAGTGTGGGAAGGAACCGATCAGAAAAACGCTCCTGAGGTCAGGTCCAGGTCATGCTTGGGAAGGCATATTTTTAAACTCCAAATTACTATTTCTGATTGTTTTCTCACTGCTTTTTGTTTTCATTTTAGGATGGTCACATCTTCTTGAATCTCTGGTACTAATTAAAGTGTGTGTGTGCATGTGAATGTTGAACCTTTTTATGGCTTTTTTGGGAATTTTCTTGTTTCTCCAATTACCACCAGTTCTCTCACTGTGTTTTTTTTTTAATTTGTCTTGGACTTTCTCTTTGGTGTGACTTGTTTTCCTCTTGTCTCTGGTTGCCTTAGGCTGTCTATGCAGCTCTAAGAATGTAGGGCTCAGGAACCTGGTGTGGGTTTCCTCTGATGTTCCATTTCATTGAAGATTTAAGTAGGTTGTTTTTCCTGTAATTCTCTCTCCAGAGTGGGAATTCCTACTGGGATCATTTTGTACTTGGGTGTCAGTGATTATATTTCTAGTGAGTGGGTAAAGAGCCAGGTTGGGGAAGCTCCCAAAAAGAGGAGTTTACTGTGGCGCATTAACAGTCACACCAGGTGCTCTATACTCCCCCTGTAAGATTCTATTCAACTGTGTTTACAGCAGTTCTATCCATCATCTACCTATGTATATACCTCTCTAAAGGGCAGAGTGAAAGAGAGAAAAAAGAGAGAGCTTCCATACACTGGTTCACTCCTGAAATGCCTGCAACAGCTGGGCCTGGACCAGGATGAGGCCAGGAACCAGGAACTCCATCTGGGTCTCTAGAGAGGAGAGCAGGAGACTAAGTACCTGACTCCCTAGGTGTGCGATAGCAGGAAGCTGGATCAGAGACAGAGGCAGGACTCAATCCCTGGCACTCCAATATGGAAGCAAGCATCCCAATCAGCAGCTAGACCCATTGCGCCAGCACGTTCACCCTTGTGCTCCACTTTTAAAGGGAACGCACCACATGTTTTTGCAGGGGGAGAGGGCTCTGGTCACCTGTCTTATTAAGAAGGGGTGAGGAAGGAGGAAGGGGCCCTCACTGTGTTCAGTTTCATGCCTCACTTTTAGGCAATTCCTCTGATGCAGGGCCTCTGGGAAGTTTTGAAAGGGAATTTGACTTATTTATTTGAGAGGCAGAGAGACAGAGACAGAAAGAATTGGGTCAATCCCCAGATGTCTGCAGTGCCTCGGACTTGGCTAGAGTTGAAGTCAGGAATACAATCCAGGTCTCCCCTGTGAGTGGCAGGAACCCAATTACCTGAGCCATCACCACTGCCTCCCAGGGTCTGCAATGGCAGGAAGTCATCAGGAGCCAAAGCTGGGAATCAAAGCCAGGTACTCCAGTATAGCACAAAACATGATTCGTAGCTGGTGGCATAGCCACCAGTCCCAGGAATCTGGCTCTGTTTCTCTTTTATTGAACAAATGGTCAAAAAGTAATAGGAAGGTATTTGCTTGGTTTCCTTTCCAGATGAGGATTTCACTGGCTTAGAACGTTATACTCACATCTTCTCCTCAAGAACCAGTACAGGGCCGGCGCCGCGGCTCACTAGGCTAATCCTCCGCCTAGCGGCGCCGGCACACCGGGTTCTAGTCCCGGTTGGGGCGCCGGATTCTGTCCCGGTTGCCCCTCTTCCAGGCCAGCTCTCTGCTGTGGCCCGGGAGTGCAGTGGAGGATGGCCCAAGTGCTTGGGCCCTGCACCCCATGGGAGACCAGGAGAAGCACCTGGCTCCTGCCTTCGGATCAGCGCGGTGCGCCGGCTGTGGCGGCCATTGGAGGGTGAACCAATGGCAAAGGAAGACCTTTCTCTCTGTCTCTCTCTCTCTCTCACTATCCACTCTGCCTGTCAAAAAAAAAAAAAAAAAAGAACCAGTACAGAAATATTTACCAGGTACAGGAAGTTTGGGGACCTTTTTTCAAAATGTATTTCCATTGTATTACCAAAATTCCTTTATGTAAACTCCATCCTTACAACCTAATAACTGGTCCAGGGCCTGAGGGCTTATCCACCTAATGAAACCAGTCAGGGTCCTTAGTCAGAGGGCCAGGTCATGAAGTCATATTGGAGATTCGAGCTCATTCTCACTACTGGAAAATAACTCCAAAGATAAGGCCCTCCACTAACTGGTACAGTGTTCTTATTCACAAAACCGTATCTTAATTAGTAGAATTGTTTAGCTTGTCTGCTTTGTCTCGGCATTACTATAGATTTTTATTTTCCCAGAGTATAACCATAATTTTTGAAAATTGGTGTGGCAATCACCTGCATGTGATGGAAGACAGCATGCAATTAAATTCTAGGTGATGAAATATATGCAGACAGAAACCTCACATTGGCTTTGGGATTGAAAGAAAAAACAAGCTTGACTACTGTTGTCACCTCTAAATTAAGCAAGAAGAGTACTACCAACTTCATTGAGCACAATCTTGAATAAACAGCTCTCTTGTTCAATTCCAGTTCTTTTTCATATTTAATGTTATCTGTTAGCCAGTGGTAATAAGGCCAAACCTCTCTAATATTAAGGGAGGACCCAGTCTCTTCTCTGTCTCCCTTAGCCCAAGGTGTCCTTGCCTGTCCTCTGTCTATCAGAAGAAATTCATTGACTTGAGGGAGTGATGCAGCTGGCCCTACAAAGTTCTACTCACTGGACTCAAGGAGTCATTTTCTGCTCCAATAGACAAGAACTTTGTTGGCCAGGATTGTCCAGAGGGATTTGTTTTGGGCAATTGCAGGTCCAGGCAGGGAAATTCCATGTCTGAGGTAGAAGGTAACTACCACTTGCATGTAACCCCTCCAGACCACCCGAAGCCCACATGCCCATCATAAAACTCCCTAAAGAGCATGGCATCACCACCAAAGGAAGGTCACGAGCACCACCAACTAAGCAGGAACTTGGATATGAATTGAACATGCACCTTCTCAACTCCAATTTCAATCTATAAAAACCTTCACCCCTAACTCCTCAGGGAGCCCAGGAACTAAGCAATAACTGCCTGGCTCCTTGCTCTGTGCTTTGCAATAAATACAGAAGTTGGATAAGTCATCATGACCTACAGCCCCTTTGAAAAGGCATTTGGAGGGGCTAGTGTTATAGTGCAGCGAGTTAAGCCACTTCTGCAGCATCATGTGGGCACCAGTGTGAGTGCAAGCTGCTCCACTTTCAATCCAACTCCCAGACTCGGATGAAGCTCCTGGCTCCTGGCTTCGGCCTGGGCCATCTCTGGCCCTGTGGCCATCTTGGGAGTTAAACAGTAGATGGAAGATCTCTCTTCTCTCTGTCTTTCCCCCTCTCGCTGTAACCCTGACTTTCAGGTAAGTAAGAAGTTTTTGTTTGTTTTTTAAAGGGCATGTGGACGGTTCTCCATTCACTGTCATCTGGATACAGGATAGGGAACCTGCTGAAAACTCTGTGTTTTCACTGGATGTCTCGGTCTCAACTCCTACTCTTCTAAAATGAAAGTAAAATTTCTGGGAGCCTGTTTCACAGGTAATTGAGGTACCTCTCTATTCTATCCAAGATTTGTGAAGAGGTAAAGATATGTGCAAAAAAGCATATTTTAAGAAGGCTCAGCGGTATTTGGAAAATATTTGAAATTTGCATCACTACCATTTATTTGCCAGTTGGATCTTAAGCAAATGACTGCAACTCATTAACTTTGATTTTCTCATTTGTAAAATAGGGGTGGTGAGTTCTTCCTCGTGTAATTATATTGCAAACAAATGAGGTCTAAATATATTTAAAATACATGGCACAGAGGTGGACTAACAGGCTAAAATCACAGATGAAGCTAGTTTTCAGAGCATAAGCACATGGAGACCTCTGCAATGAAAAATATTGATTAGGGAAATATATTTCTATTTCTCAAAATTAGTGACCTAGTCATCTTGATTAAAAAATTATATATTCTCACACTGTTTTTAAAAAATGATTTTTGACCCTTTGTTCTTCTGTTCAGGATTATATAGAGGATTGGGACCACACATTTCTCAGTGCTTGGTTATTCAAAAGATACTCATCTAACTCTGGTCTCTGCCTCCCTTTCTGGTCTTCTCCCTGGGACCTCATGCCAAGACATATACACCAAACCATTTCATTAAATGGTGTATGTCCAGTTATTTTAATGCATTTGTACTGGTGTACTTAAGATCTAGCTTTTCACTGTATAGTGAATTGTTTTCCTTTACTACTTCAAAGTCATGCATATCCATGTTTGTTGTGTTTACTTATTTTTTTAATCTGTGCACTTTTAACTTACCATTTTCTTTTAAAAAATATTTTTGTTTTTATTTATTTGAGAGGCAGAGCTGCAGACATAGAGAGGGAGAGACAGAGACAAAGATCTTCCATCTGTTGGTTCACTCCCTAGATGGCTGCAACGGCTGGAGCTGGACTGATCCGGAAACCAAGATCCTCTTCTGAATCTCCCATATGCGTTCAGGGGCCCAAGGACTTGGGCCATCTTCCACTGCTTTCCCAGGCCATAGCAGAGAGCTGGGTCAGAAGTGGAGCAGCTGGGACTCGAACTGGCCCCCACATGGGATGCCAGCTTTGCAGGCAGAGGCTCAGCCCACTACACCACAGCACCAGCCCCCAGCTTATAATTTTCTATATTGTTTAATGTATTATTAAGCTTATAGACTCTGGTCCTAATGGTCTTTTCAGGCCTCTTTTGTGAAAAAACAAAACAACAAGACAGAAACTGCAGAAACAGAAGCAAGTTCATCAGAAAGGCATGGGTGGCACATTTTAAAAACATGATGGAACTCACAGGTATTCCACTCTCTGATCTTCTCTCTACAGTCGTGAATTGATGTACAGCAAAGCACACCAGGTACGTGCTCATGGGGACAGACTTCTGGAAAGTTGTTCGAATCGAGTTGCCCTCCACTGGCACTTGTTCCTGTTGAAAACAGAAGATGATCTTTATTTACCGAAGAGCCATCACATTAGGACAAACAAATGGTTGCCCCAAATCTGGTTTTCTAGTCAAAAGTCCTTTGTCAGAGCTTTGGGATAAAATTGTGATGATGTTAAAAAGACTCAACAAAAATTCATTTAATTGTCAGTACTGTGGGAGAGTGATTATATCCACTGGATTAGATTTCCCAGAGAGAAAAAAAAACTTATCTGTGAGATCAACTGGATAGGAGTTTATCTTTCTGCCCTAAATATACAGTATTGGTCAAAATATTTGAGGGGATGCTCTGATCTGTTCATGGAAAGTCTCAGAGATAAAACCAAGTAGATGTTTGCTGCCTTGACTAGGCGTGGGAGGGCAGCAGCTGTATTGGGCAGAGCAGAAGGTTGTGTGTAGAAGACCCAAGGTAGGGTTGCTAAAGTCAGTGCCTTGATCGCTAAGCACATAGAGAAACATTCCATTGCCTGACGTAATGGTTAATCCATCTGGACCTTCTGGTCCATGCCAATTTAAATGTCCTTACTGTCAGTCACCAATTCTGATATTTCAATCGTGAATCTTTGCTCAGCTCCTGCTACCATTGTTTGGATATCCCGGCATGCCCTGCAGATACTCTCTAAATCATTAAGTGGGAAGCTCTGAAAGGAGATTAAGCAAAGGAAGCTGGACTGGAATTGATACAAGATTAACACGGCAAGCACGCATGTGTGTGTGCTTCGGTAAAAGCGTTGAAGATCCAGAAAGTTACTCTATGACAAAGCCCGGAAGTATTGGTCTTGATCTCCCAGTGACACAAAATGTTCACCTTCTTCCAGGACTGGCATCTGGATGTAGCAGAAGGTGAAAAGCATAACTGGTAAATGGAAAGCAGAGGCGCGATCTTAGTTAGGCAGGGGTTGGCCAGTTTGTCTTCTTTCTCTTCCCCACTCACGTCCTCTCATTTACACCAAACTATCCTGATGGTCTAGTCTTCCGGCCTGCAGTGTCACACTCTATATCTATCTTTTCCTCTTTCTTCTCCTATTGAAACTTCATTTTTCCAGTACCTGACACCAGAAGAAAACAAGTGAATGAATTCACACTGAGGCATGGATGGCTGACCAGAGTTTATTATCTGGACCTTCTTACACTTTCATTTGTTTTTTTCTTTTTCAAAGAATATTTTATTGAAAAGGATGAACTTCAGTGATGCTCTCTCAGCTAGCGGTCAGAAACCTGGGAGGTGAGAGTCTGGAGATGGGTTTCCTTCTGGTGCAAGGTGACACTTAACACCTAAGGATGAACCTGACCCTTTTCCTTGGCGAATGGAAAAAGTATGGCAAACTTCAACTCTGAGGCAATGCCATTGACGTAAAGAGTTAACCGCATCACCCATTATGGACATGAGGAGCACTACTGGGAAAGAGCTTCATGCTCATTAATAATCATACAGTAGAAGTTAATGCAGGCTCTTTTATTTCCTTTTTTTAAAATAAACATTTACTATGTACTTCCTGCTCACCATAAAAATCTTTGGGCATGGTGTTGCCTGGACTTGGTCAAAACAAATCCAGAATTAGTAGTTTTACCTTTCTAACAACTAGGCCTATATTCAACCAAAACCTAAACATAGTGAGTAGGTACTGGAGTATTTTTAAGTCTATAATTCCATTAGTCTGTCTTGCTCAAGGGATTCTGTCTGGTAAGCAGCACCCCAGGGACTGTGTCTCTCTGTATGTTCTCTTGCTTTAAAACTCCATGGTGGCGTTCTTTTTAAAGTAGACTGTGATATTTTAGGTTACAGACTTCTAGGACTGAAAAAAAAAAAAAAAAGAGATTGCCAAAATGTGTTCTCAATCTTCTACATAAAGTATGAGCGCACAATTAGTTTTAGAATTCAACAGTTTCTCTTCCATAGCAAATAAGGTAAAATGACCTGATGTTACCAACAGACTATCAGTATAAACTAAACATGCAAAGAATACTCACCGCTACTGGCATATTTGAAAGTGCTCTATATTCGTTGGAGTGGATGATAGATATTGTATAAGTTGCCTTTTTGTTGGGCTCATCAAAGCAGGGAAAGGATTTCCTGGCATCTGTTGGTTCATGATCCGTGGCCGCTATGCTCCTTAGAAACAAACACACAAACAAGCCAAATGCATGCTGCCCCTCTGGATAGCCCTTGTATTTCTTTCCACTCCTAGGAGAAAAGATCTACTATTTCAAAAATAATTATTACATTTTAAGCATTTTATTTATTTATTTATAAATAAGTGAAGGCAGAGCAAGAGAGAGAGACAGAGACAGAGACAAAGAGATTTCCCATTTGCTGGTTCACTCCCTAAGTGCTTGTAATAGTGAGGAATGGGCCAGGCTGAAGCCAGGAGCCAGAAACTCAATCCAGGTCTCCTGTACAGGAGGAAGGGACCCAACCACTGGAGCCAATCAGCTGCCTCCCAGGGTGCAAATTAGCAGGAAGCTGGAATGGGAGCTGAGCTGGGACCATAACCCAGACACTGATATGGACTGTGGATATCCCAAGCCGCATCTTAACTGCTACACAAAAAACTCACCTGCAACTATGACATTTCATAAAACGGGTTCCATCTAGAAGGCTAGCCATCAAAATCCCCCGGAATTTTTAGCTTAGTACATAATGAAAACCTTGAGGCAGACAACTTCAGATATTTATTCAAAGACTGAGATATTTTGGTACCATAACTAGAAACTTATAGATGAGAAAAATAAATCCAATTATGAGCTGTTGTTCTCCACCCCTAAGTCACTGAGCAACAAGTAGGTGACACAAAAGCAGGTTCACAGGCTTATTTCTAACTGTGCTCATGACAAGTCCACAGCTGTGTTCTGTCACAGAGGAAAGAGTATATGGCAGAGTCCCCGGCTCCTATCCCCAGTGGCACATTCTTTCTTATTTATGTTACACCAGGGACAAACTCCCCCTGCCCTCTTCATGTCCATGCAAAGGCAGCGCTAAGTAATCCCCCAGGTGAAATCATCTTTGGCCTGATTTAAAGCCAATATTTAAAAAGAGACAACAAATTTCTTTTTTTTTTTTTTTTTTGACAGGCAGAGTTAGACAGTGAGAGAGAGAGAGACAGAGAGAAAGGTCTTCCTTCCATTGGTTCACCCCCCAAATGGCTGTTACAGCCGGCGCGCTGCGCCAATCTGAAGCCAGGAGCCAGGCGCTTCCTCATGGTCTCCCATGGGGGTGCAGGGACCCAAGCACTTGGGCCATCCTCCACTGCCTTCCCGGGCCACAGCAGACCAGAGAGCTGGACTGGAAGAGGAGCAACTGGGACAGAATCCGGCGCCCCAACTGGGAGTAGAACCCCGGGGTGCTGGCGCCACAGGCGAAGGATTAGCCAAGTGAGCAGCAGAGCCAGCCAGAGACAACAAACTTCTTTTATAGCTCTAACTAGGCAAATGCTTGAGTTAAAGAAAATGTTAATATTTAGCATTTACACAATTTCACAGTGAAGTGATTTTTTCTGAGTAATTGTTTTAAAAAATTAATAAGCACACTTTTTATGTGTAAGGATATTACAGAAAGACAGTATTGTTAAATACTGGCTCAATAGTGAACTAAAGAGTAAAAAAGCATAAAAGGAAAAGTAATCCTGATTTACATTCATTAATAATTAATGTAATGAAAATATTTTGTCATGCAGGATTCTTAGAAACTAAAAAAGGCATAATATACAGAATACCAGGATCAATTATTAGATCATACACTCATCCTGCAAATATTTATTTAAATATTTATTTTACTTATTTGAAAGGTAGAATTACACAGAGAGGGAGAGAGACAGAGACAAAGAGAGAGACAGTGATCTTTCACCTGCTGGCTCACTCCCCAAATAGCCACAATGACAGGGCTGAAACAGGCCAAAGCCAGAAGCCTGGCATTGCATCCAAGTCTCCCCCATAGGTGGCAAGGGCCCAAGCACTTGGGCCATCTTCTGCTGCGTTCCCAGGTGTATTATAAGGGAGCTTGATGGGAAGTGGAGCAGCTCAACCAGGCAGCACAAGGCCTGCCCCTCCTACAAATATTTTTCAAGACCATTCCTATACCCTACTCACATGCACACACACACACACACACATGCACACATCCATGTACACACACACACACTTTCAGTCATTATTCTAGGTGCTGAGAAAACAAAGTCTCAATAGATATGGTCCCTAATTTCATACTCATTGATAGACAATAGACACAAATAAATGAATGGTGAAATGGAGAATGGTGAAAGCTTTATAAAACAAAACAAGGGAGATGACAGAGAACTACTAGGAAAAGTGGTGAGAGGCTTTAGAAACATTCTCTGAATAGATGATGGTGTGCTGAGATCTGAGTATTGAGAAGAAGCCAGCCAGATGAAGATGAAGGAAAATGTGCTCTAGCAGAGAGAATGGTAAGTGCATAGTATCTAAGCGGAAGAGAACTTGATGTGGCCGAGGAACTGAATGGTTATTGTGAAGCAGGGGACTTGGGCAGAAGAGCAGTTTGTTGAGGTCAGTAAAGGTCAGGTATTGCAGACCATTAGAAGACTCTGAATTTTATTTTGATTCAAGAATTTGTTATGGCCATTAATTTTTCTAAAATTAACGTGCCATAGGTCAACAACTACTTATGAGGAATCACAATACTAACCTTTTCAAGAACTCTCTAGATATAAAAATAAATTAACTGAAATGTGATCCCTGTTAAACATAAGAGTGGGAATAAGAGAGGGAAGAGATGTATAATTTGGGGCATGCTCGGGCTGACTTGCCCCAATTGGTAGAGTTGGAAACATACCAGGGGATTCCAATTCAATCCCATCAAGGTGGCATGTGCCAATGCCATCTCACTATTCCAAGTGATCAATTTCAGTTCACAATTGATCATAATGAAAGGACTAAGAGTCAAAGGGAGCACATAAACAAGTCTAGTATCTGCTAACACTAACCGATAGAATAAATAAAGGGGAGAGTGATCCAACATGGGAAGTGAGATACTCAGCAGACTCATAGAATGGCGGATGTCCTAAATAGCACTCTGGCCTCAGAATCAGCCCTAAAGGCACTCGGATCTGGCTGAAAAGCCCATGAGAGTATTTCAGGCATGGAAAGCCAAGACACTCTGGCAAAAAGATCTCTGTGAGTGAGATCCCAGTGGAAAGAACAGGTCTTCAAAGAGGGAGGTGCCTTTCTCTGAAGGGAGGAGAGAACCTCCACTTTGACTATGACCGTGTCTAAACAAGATAAGAGTCGGAGAACTCAAGGGGCTTCCATAGCCTTGGAAACTCATGACTGGTGCATAGGGAGATTACTGATGCCATAAACAGGAGTGTCAATTTGTAAAGTCAACAACAGGAGTCACTGTGCACTTACTCCTCATGTAGGATCTCTGTCCTTAATGTGCTGTACACTGAGGCTTAATGCTATAACGAGTACTCAAACAGTATATTTCACTTTGTGTTTCTATGGGGGTGCAAACGATTGAAATCTTTACTTAATGTACACTAAACTTATCTTCTGTAATAAAAAAAAAAAAGAAATTATCAATTCCCAACTTGACTCTTACTGGGATTAAACATGACAATAGGTCTGATCTGATTTCATCATCATTTAAAAAAAAATCATCTATTATTTTTCACTTTATGTTTCTGTGTGGGAGCAAGCTGTTGAAATCCTTACTTAAGGTATACTAAGCTGATCTTCTGTATATTAAGATAATTGAAAATGAATCTTGATGTGAATGGAAGGGGAGAGGGAGTGGGAAAGGGGAGGGTTGTGGGTGGGAGGGACGGTATGGGGGGGGGAAGTCATTGTAACCCATGAGTCGTACTTTGGAAATTTATATTCATTAAATAAAAGATAAAAAAAACTCAGCCAAAAAATTAATCTATGTAAAAATATAAAATGAGAAAAGTTGCAGTCTTTCTGGAGAGTGTTGACTCAAAGTGGGAACTTTCATGGATGATTGAAACATAAATCAATCAAATAAGTAGAATGTCATGGGGTATGTGTATTTGTCAAAGTTCATTGTGTTGTGCACATTAGATTTGTGCATTTCCCTGCATAAAAATAACTGCAGGGCTGGCTTTGTGGGGCAACAGATTAAGCTTCAGCTTGCTACATCAGCATCCCATATTGGTGTTATGGTTCAAATCCCAGCTGCTCCACTTCCAATCCAACCTTCCTGCTAATGTGCTTTGGAAGGCAGTAAAGAATGGCCCAAGTTCTTGAACCCCTGCCACCCATGTGGGAGATCTGGATTGAATTCCTGGCTCCTGGATCCTGCCTTCAATCTGACAGAGCCCTGACTGTTGTAGTCATTTGGGGAGTGAACAAGTAGTTGGAAGATTCTTTCTTTGTTTCTCTCTCTCTCTCTCTCTTTCTCTCTCTCTCCCCCTCTTCCTCTGTGTGTGTGTGTGTGTGTGTGTGTATGTGTGTGTGTCCCTCTCTCTCAGTCACCCTTTCAAATATATAAATAAATCTTCAAAAATATATAAATTTGCACATTTCCCTGTGTAAAATAACTGTAAATAAATGTTGAACTCTTGTAAGTAGATTTGTATTTTTGCAATGTTATGTGCTAGTAATTCAGAAACAACTTTTTCTGCTTCCTGTGCATAAACAAATGAAAAAAAATTAAGATTAATGAAAGGAAGATTTTTCACTTTTAAGGAAAGGAGCTATACTGTTCTTTAAAAATGATTTAATTATTTGAAAGGCAGAGTTACAGAGATAGAAAGAGGTAGAGGTAGAGAGAAGTCTTCTATTCAATGGTCCATTCCCCAAATGGCCACAATGGCCAGGCTATACCATACCAAAGCCAGGAGCCAGGAGCTTCATGCAGGCTTTCCACGTGGGTACAGGGGCCCAAGCACTTGGACTGTCTTTCACTGCTTTCACAGGCTCATTAGCAGGGAGCTGTATTGGAAGTGGAGCAGCCAGAACTCAAACTGCCTATATGGGAAGCCAACACCACAGGTGGAGACTTAACCTACTATGCCACAGCGTCAGCCCCAAGGAGCTATACTTTTGTAAAGGAAGACTAGAATATGCCCTATGGTACTTAATTGTAATTATAATTACATATTTCATTAATAACTCTAT